CACTGTTCTTCAAGGAATGTGACGTCACATTCGTTTTAATGTGAAACATGTTACATTCATTTGAATATTGTGTCACATTCATTTAAACGTAACTTCAGGTGAGGTGATGCTCTAATGGCGCCCAGGCTTGGCCGATTCACGTTTAAACGAATAAGACACAACATTCAAACGAACGTGACACGATTAACATTGAAACGAATGTGACGTCACATTCGTTGAAAAACAGTGAAGAAGTAGAACAAATCGTTGTGCTAAGATAACAAATTTAAAAAGAATAACGCGAAAAATGCTAAAAAAAAACAACAACAATAAAACGATTTTGGGTCCGGTTTTTGTTTTGGAGTGGCCTGATTTGACTACTTGTATTTCTTGCAGTGTGTGAGAGCGTTGAGCTATGCTGAAACACGCACACGGACACTTTGTTTCTCCCCCTGCAGCGTTGCTGCCCTTGCACTCTCGGGTGCAGCGGCGGGCGAGCTGCACCGCGGCTTGCACCAGCAATTATGAAAAATGAAATGATGACTTTTAATTTCAGCCGCACGGCGTTGCGGCGCCGGTGGCGCTGGTGTCGCCCCCCTTTTAACGCCCTGCTCCCGCCCCTCGCCCCGCTGCTCCCGACTGCTTTCTCCGCCCGCGAGGTTTTGTCGTCCGTCTTTGTCGCCGCGGTTCGACGGGTAATTACCCCTCCGCCTGCTGATTGGTCGCCCCGGCGCACCCCGCCCGGCTAATCTCGGCCCGAGGCGGTGGGAGGCTCATAGGAAAATGCGCGACGCATGATATCTAAACTTTTGCGTTACACGGTGAAAATTGTTTCTTCTTGTCGAAGGACCATCGGAACGATTCAAGGACGCCCCATGCAATTTTCCCTCTCCCTTCCTTGAATCCTTGGTCCTTGGATATCAAGGAACAGTTTTCACCGTTTACTTGTACGTCATATATGGCGTCATCTTCGTTCTAAAATTATTTGTGAACAAATAACCGTAGATGACTTTTGTGTCCTACAAGGGTGCTAATTTCGTTCATACGAAGAATCGGATTTGAATAACGGAATACAAAGAATCGGACGGAGCAGCCAACAGCCAGAATTGCAAACGACTTTTCTTCATAGGACGAATAACAGCCCCAGTTTGTAATACAAAAGGATTTGTTTGTATTACCGAGGTTTCAAATTTCTTGAACGTTACGGAGAGCAGAGGGCAGTTGCTCGTAAGAAACTGACTGGCATGTTTAGTTAGAAAACAAAGGGGAAAGGGAAAATTACCTTACCTTATTTCATTCCTCTCACCCGCACCTTTTGTTTTTGAAAGAGGCTACCTCAGACCTCGCAGACCTCAGGTATGCGCCAAAGCAGCAGATTTAAGTCACCCGCCCTCGCTCCCTCCGCCCCCTGCGCAACGAGTGAGCCTGGAGCCTGTGATGTAGCCTTTCTCGCGGTCGGCTCAGGCTCGGCTCGTTTGCTTTTTCACACCACTGGGGGGGCGCCGCCAGGGCGCCTCGACCCCTTCTCTCTCTCTCTCTCTCTCTCTCTCTCTCTCTCTCTCTCTCTCTCTCTCT